TCCCCATGTAACAAGCTCTGCATCGAACGTACCAACACCCAAACCAACCAACACCCAAACCAACCAACCCCCCCCTCCAAGTCAATTCTTCCTTAGCCCCAGGATCCTCCACTGCAGGACCCGGGGCAGAGCCATCCTCCAAACCCTCTGCCTCTGGAGAAAAGGTAGAGTCCACCAGAAAAGCAGGGAAGAAAGGGGGATCTGCTGGCATGACCCAAAAGCCCTGGCAGGAGGAACAGGCTCGAATGCCTCCGCCGCTGATCCAGAAGGGGCAGTCCCCGAAGCCACCCGAGTCTCGCCACCAACAAAGCCTTTCCCCATCTCCAAATCCCTCAGACGTTTGGGAGCCAGAAGCAGGGGAAGAAGGGAGCAGGTTGAACGACAGCAGGGGAAGGACAAGGGGGCATGGGTAAAACCAAAGTCGAGGCAACTAACGCCTCCCAAGTCTGGGTCCCTATTACCCAAGCGGGGCAGCCCCAGGGCATTCGGAAAGGCAACCAACCTAGCACGTTGAAGCAACCTAAACCTCGCATGCAACGTGGAAGCTGCCTGTACCCGAGTATAAGTATCAGAGGACTGGGTGAACTGGAGTACAACCAAGGCTGGTGAAGAGCAGAGGTGCCATGGGCACAATCAGAGAACACTGTATGAACATCAGAGGTCCACAGTTGTTCAACGTCCCACCAGTGAGCATCAGAAATATTACAGGAACAACTGTGGACATCTTCAAGAGGAAACTAGATTGTTTCCTTCAAGGAGTGCCGGACCAACTGGGCTGTGGTGGGTATGTGGGCCTGCGGGCCGCTCCAAGCAACAGCCTGGTGGACCAAACTCTCACACTGTCAAGTCTGGCCTCGGGCCGGGCTTGGGGAGTAGAACTCCCAGAACCCCATCAACCAGGTATCAACCAGGTATCAAGGAGCACCACTCCCCGGACTCCGGGTCAAAGGAGTCATTGACCCAACAGGCAGCATGGTGGAGGCAAAGATGGTGTCACCCCGAGACTAGGGAACAGAGCAACCTTCAAACTTGCACGAAGCGAGATGGGACTCTGAGGACTCATCCACTTAACCAATGAGCCCCAATAGGGTTTTCCAGGGCCCTTAGGCTGACTGCTATGGGAAGCCCAAGCATGGTACTGCCAACCGGTTATCACAGAACTACCAAGAGAACAAACAAAAGCTGAACCCCTGTGACGTGTGCAATCATGGGGACCTAGCAGAGGGCCTCCAAATGAATACAAGTGCTCCTACAGCCACACCAGGAAAAACAAAAAAGAAAGGAAATGCCCTACAAAAGCACAACGTCTCCAGGAGGAACAGAACCGGCTCCTATGCGAATTGCAAGAGAGATGCACAGTACCCTGCACCCCAGCCAGCAACAATACTACCTCCTACCCAAGGCGAAACAGTTGCAGAAAACAACCCTAGCTGACCAAGAGCAGGCAATCACTAAGCAGCAGAAGAACCCTGCAGAGGTAGTCCCTGAACAGTTTGTGGAAGGTAACTCCAAACTGCAAGGGCAGTATTTACAGGGCACCTAGGGAAGGCGACCCTAGGCACATGCAGCCCCAGTACTTCTGGAATTACACCTGGCTCACACACCACCACACAGTAGAACACCATAAGGCACAGCACTGCTCAAAGGATGTAGCCAGAGTCGATCAACCGCTACTCAACACAACAGCCTCAGAACTGAGGTTGGGTAGCTTGCACGAGAGGTCTGGGGGCCCCCCTCTTTCCCCTCCCAGGGATAGGGGGGGAAGTTGCACAGACAGCAGCCCAGCAGCTGCAGTGATGTATTGCTTGTTTTCTGACTGGGGAGTTCTGCTTGCTCATTCGGCCTTTGGTTTGCAATTTTAAACCCTCTGTATTTTGTTTTGGGATTCCTACCTTTCTGAGTGCCTGACCTGGTAGACAGCAGACAGACTACTTCCAACTACATGGGGTGTCTATAGGCCATTGCTCCTCGTGCCACTTAGAGGGGGCCAGGCTCTGGCTTGTAGTCACCGGTAGGCTAGAACTCCATCAATTGACTGATGCCATGGTCTAATATATACACATTAGCCCGGTATAGCTCTGGGTAGCCAAAGGGGCTCTCCACAGAAAAGTAAGCAATAGTAGTGCAACAACAAAGAAATATATAAATATGACAAAGTGATCTTGATGTAAAGATTAATAAAGATCTAAAATCCACGACAGCAGTGTGCGAATGTATAAACAAGACTAAATGTTTTTTTTTGCATTACATCTAGAAGTGTTAGTAATAGGAATACCAGTTATCCTACAACTTTACCTTGCTCTAGCGAGACCTCACTTAGATTATGCTGTGCAGTTTTGGTCGGCATGCTCTACAGAATGGACATAAATTCTCTGGAAGGCATACAGAGAAGGACAGAGTTAATCCCCAGCACCAGGAATTATTCTTAACTTGATAGATTGAGAAGTATAGAATGAGGAGCAATAACGATGAAAGGTATTACAATAACAAAGGAGATACAAATAAGGTGTTGAAATTTAAAAACAAAAAAGATTCTAAAAAGATTCAAATTAGGCAAATTAAAATTTACGAAGCAGCTTGGTAGGAGCTGGAAAAGTAAGAATTGCGGCTAGGTGGAATACAATGCCAAGTAGCATTAGTGAAGATAACACATTGAAGTCAAATGTGTGGACAAATAAGTGAAACTAATGGAGCAAACAAGACCTGCTTAGCATGCGAGCCAGTAGGCATACAATGATTGCATCTTTTGTCACCCAAATAATGTAACGCTGTGGTTAATTTGAAAGAGTATTTGCACATGCATAAGCAGCATGCTGGTGAAATCAACATGCAAATGACAAAACATTTTCTGAGTTTGTAATCAGTATGAATGCACAGCAAGAGGATAACATCAGATCTCGGTGTAGCACAAACCTTGAACTATCAATCGTAATATATTTTATTTATAAAAATAACAATAGGCGATTGTAATTTGTATACCAACATTCTTAAATTCTTTCAAAGGCGCTTACATGGATAGCATTTCAGACAATTCAATTTATTATTAGCTATATTTTTGTCCAAAATATGAGAACAAGTATATGGATTTGGCTAAAACTGCTAAAATGTTTCAAGTGCTCTGTAAATAAGGTTAATTTTGAAATCTCCCTTCAAAATGTTCCAACCAGTGAAAACCAGTCCAACCAGTAAACTTTGGTTATGTGTATATTGTATGTGTTAACACTTTGAAAAGCTTTCTAAGAATGTACCTGTACATAACATCACTTTGGGTACATATTTAATATGAATCATCACTGAAAAGTAGAATTATGAATGTAGTATATGTACACCAAAATTAGTACAAAACCACTGTACCTTGTAAATAAGTAAATTAGCACAAAATAAATACTTCGCAATATGTCCAATACTATTGCGACAGTTATCAACACTAACCTAAATACATAACTAAAGAAAATTAATTTATTTCTTAAACAAATGGCATTTATCAAGTAGCACACACAATATGGATTTAATTTTCAACCCTTCCACTGCAGCACTTCAGTTTAGGACCAGTTCTTCCCTTGGGCTCAAGTGATTAATATTTCCTCTTTACATTAAACATTTCTAGTGAAGGAAAACACTGCACTTTTATGTTCAATTTCTTTACCTTTATTTACCTTTATAAAACAATCCATGTAAGTAAGATTACAAATGTTCCCAAGACAGAATATCTAATGTTTACCCCCCATTTCCTCACTACATTGACTTGTGGTTCCAATTGATCTCATTTCTAACAAAAAAAAAAAAAGAAAAAAAAGCTCTCATTTATATTATAGCACTCATAATGAAGGCCTAGTCTTGAAAACGAGTAATGAAAAAATTATCAGTACTGTACATACAATATATACAAACTGCCAAAACACAGTGTAAAAGGACTAATAATCAAGCGTACCTTTGACTTTTAAGTTAAAGAAGGTAGCGATTTAATTTCATAAATCTCTGGTGTATAAATCTCTAATCCAAATCTCATTCAGATTACTTTATCCAAGCATGGCAACCTCATTTTCAGAATAACATAGATCTCTGGAGCGAGTGCAACACTGGGCAACAAAAATCATTTCACAGTCAAGTCAATTTGTGTATCAGGAACAGTTGAGGGCCATGCAGCTAACAACACTGCAAACCAGGCATGACAGAGTGGATCTCATTGAAACTTTAAAAATACTGAACAATTTTTGAGGATGTTGATCTGGAAAATGTCTTCAAAAGGTCCGACGTAACCCAAACAAGGAGAAATGGGTTAAAGTTCAACAAGCCATAATGTAAGACCGAGAACAGGAGATGCTTTTTCACCCGCAAAGTTATAAACCCCATGGAACTGCTTACCTGCCGAAGCCAGAAATGACAAAATTTTTAAATTTTAAAATCCAACTGGAAAAGATCACGGCAAATGGTGGGACTTTCTTCAAGCCGCTGGCTTCCTGTCTACGTCGAAGCCACTAGTATTAGTGACCCTCATGTAAATTCAGGTATAAAATCCCTTAATTTCTATGGACCATGCACTTATGGCTAATATATACATGCCCTATAAAATCATATTACTGTACTGCACACAAAATGCCTTGCTTATTTATATATATTCTACTATATCAATCAAATTTATGAGTTAATGAAGTATTATACGAACATATTGTTTACTAAACAATAATAATGAATCTACATTCTCTTAATCCAAGAATGCACAAGTATTAGCAAGATACACAAGACTGGTGGAATAAATATACATTGTACATTGCAGAATACACATTGTGTTTTTCAAAATAGAAGTAAATCATTCAAACTCCAAATTTCTCGCCTACTTTCCTACGCCGTCTATAACAAACCTCAACGCAGAGCTCTTAACAATCTACCCGATATAATTTCATTGGCATTCAATAAGAAAAACATATTAAACAAATAATCTTTCAAGTCAGGCAAATGACACGAGTAATATCGCCACAGACATAAAATGCGAAACTCACGATATTGACAGAGGCCTGTCGCAACGCCCTGTTCTCCTCATGCAGGCTCTTCACCCGGAGCTTGTACGTCTCCAACTCCGCCCGGAGTACCCGGTTTTGCTGCTGAAGGCAGTCTATCCTCTTCTGCCACTGTTCCCGGGTGATCGGGGAAGGTGGCATTGAGGGCGGCTGCATAATTGGTCCATCAGTAACAGACGACGAGTCGCTCTCACTGGCGCTGTCGGCCATGTTTACAATGTTGACAATAGACGGAGGAACCGTCAGCACCTTGACACTCTGTGCTCTAATATCTACAACAAATATTTAAATATTATTTGATGAATAGCTGAGAAATATGTTACATTATACTCTATAATTAACCCATATTCTATATTTTGTTATAAAAAGTACTTATATCTAGTTATTCTAACCTAAGTTAAACTGTTACACAGTACCACAAATCCTAAATGAATTGGTTTTGCTTCCTTATTCTTGGGGGACCCACGAGATGAATAATGGTACATGAGGCTGCTGGCCGCCCACCACGCGCCGCCCACCCTACGCCCTCCACGCCTCACCACCCACCCATCACGTCGCAGATATTACAACCTCACATAGCCCACCATGCATGCAGTAGGCCGACGTGTCAACAAGCCCACGGCACTCCTCCCTCACTATACCAACCCAACCACTTGGGCTGGACGGTAGAGCGATGGTCTCGCTTCATGCAAGTCGGCGTTCAATCCCCGACTGTCCAATTGGCTGGGCACCATTCCTTCCCCCCGTCCCAACTAAATCCTTATCCTTACCCCTTCCCAGAGCTATATAGCAGTCCCCGTGGCGCAGTGGTAAGACCACGGGAAATATCTCCCGTCACGCAGGGTGCAGCCGCACCTCTACAGATCTCCAGTATCATCTATTGATACTATTAATGACTCAAAAGGGCCACCACTTACGGGCTATTCGTGCCCGTGTCACCTTTTTTGTGGCTTAATCTTCATCAATCAATCAGTGGTAAGACACTCGCTTGGTGTTCCGCAAGCGCTTTACCTGGTACCTGGTTGATACCTGGTACCTGGTTGATACCTGGTACCTGGTACCTGGTTGATACCTGGTACCTGGTTGATACCTGGTACCTGGTTGATACCTGGTACCTGGTTGATACCTGGTTGATACCTGGTACCTGGTTGATACCTGGTACCTGGTTGATACCTGGTACCTGGTTGATACCTGGTACCTGGTTGATACCTGGTACCTGGTTGATACCTGGTACCTGGTTGATACCTGGTACCTGGTTGATACCTGGTACCTGGTTGATACCTGGTACCTGGTTGATACCTGGTTGATACCTGGTACCTGGTTGATACCTGGTACCTGGTTGATACCTGGTACCTGGTTGATACCTGGTACCTGGTTGATACCTGGTACCTGGTTGATACCTGGTACCTGGTTGATACCTGGTACCTGGTTGATACCTGGTACCTGGTTGATACCTGGTACCTGGTTGATACCTGGTACCTGGTTCTGGGAGTTCTTCTACTCCCCAAGCCCGGCCCGAGACCAGGCTTGACTTGTGAGAGTTTGGTCCACCAGGCTGTTGCTTGGAGCGGCCCGCAGGCCCACATACCCACCACAGCCCGGTTGGTCCAGCACTCCTTGAAGGAAACAATTTAGTTTCCTCTTGAAGATGTCCACGGTTGTTCTTGTAATATTTCTGATGCTCGCTGGTAGGACGTTGAACAACCGTGGACCTCTGATGTTCATACAGTGTTCTCTGATTGTGCCCATGGCACCTCTGCTCTTCACTGGTTCTATTCTGCATTTTCTTCCATGTCGTTCACTCCAGTACGTTGTTATTTTACTGTGCAGATTTAATTGGGACCTGTCCCTCCAGTATTTTCCATGTGTATATTATATGGTATCTCTATCGTCTCCTTTCTAGTGAGTACATTTGGAGAGCTTCGAGACGATCCCAATAATTTAGGTGCTTTATCTCGTCTATGCGTGCCGTATATGTTCTCTGTATTCCCTCAATTCTCAATTTCAGCAATCTCTCCTGCTCTGAAGGGGGAAGTGAGTACTGAGCAGTACTCAAGACGGGACAACACAAGTGATTTGAAGAGTACAACCATTGTGATGGGATCTCTGAACTTGAAGGTTCTCGTAATCCATCCTATCATTTTTCTGGCTGACGCAATACTTGCTTGGTTATGCTCCCTAAACGTTAGGTCGTCGGACATCATTATTCCCAAATCCTTGACATGCTGTTTTCCTACTATGGGCAGATTCGATTGTGTTTTGTACCCTGTATTATGTTTAAGATCCTCATTTTTGCCGTATCTGAGTACCTGGAATTTATCACCGTTAAACATCATGTTATTTTCTGCTGCCCAATCGAAAACTTTGTTAATATCTGTTTGTAGTTTATCAATGTCTTCAGCAGAGGTAATTTTCATGCTGATTTTTGTATCATCTGCAAAGGATGACACGAAGCTGTGACTTGTGTTTTTGTCTATATCTGATATGAGAATAAGGAACAGCAGTGGTGCAAGGACTGTACCTTGAGGTACAGAGCTTTTAACTGCACCATTCCCAGGCTGCCTGGGAATGATTTCCCAGGTTCCCAGGAAGCCTGGGAACCCAGGCTTTGGCCTGGGTTCAAATCCTGGCCGGGGAGGATTGACCGGGCGCCAATCCTTTACTGTAGCCTCAGTTCACCCAGCAGTGAATATAGGGACCTGGTTGTTAAACAATTCGGCGGGGTCGTATTCCGGGGAAATTAGGATTAAGGACCTGCCCGAAATGCTACGTACGCGTGCTAGTGGCTTTACAAGAATGTAAAACTCGTATGTAGTCGTAATGGCCTGGCGCTTTCTCCTGATAGCCCACCCCCTTCCTTCACTATACCATTATATATGTTCACCAAGCAGTAAATAGGTACCAAGGAGCTAGCCAGCTTGTTGTGAGGTTGCATCCGGGGAAGGGTCCGTAGTTCGACCTTGAGAGTTCGTCTGTCTGTCCAAAATTTGAGGCCAGACGCTTGGAGCTAGTCTCTCTCAGATTTGTAGGGAAATGGCCTGTGGTATGGGACGGACACAGGCTGGTCGGGTGTAGGCCAAAATTAAATGATTTAAGAAATATTAACAATTATAAACACTCCTAGCCATTTTCATGGAATCTTTCATAGTCTAAGTGTAAAATATGGAGTGTGATCAACATGGAGTTTATCACGATCGGTCCACCCTCTCCCTGCAATCTGAGAATTTACCTGAAGGCAGCGGTACAGTGCTGCCAGAACGCCGCTCCAGCACCTCTTCAAGTGGATGATGGAATGAGGGAAAGAGACAGGATGAGGGGAAAGTGAGAGAGGATGAGGGGAAAGGGAGAGAGGATGAGGGGGAAAGAGAGAGAGGATGAATGTGTAACGTACGGTTATGTTACTTTGTTGGGTAGATTAGATACACAGTGTTTAGTGAGTCATATTTATTTAGTAGTCTTGATTACAGTAGTTGGTTGTTGGCATTGTCGTAGACGTTCAGACGGAGCTTGGAGCAGAGCAGAAAGCTGAGTTCTTGGGGTCGCTTTGAACTGCATACGCCGAGTGCTACATTCTTGAGATTTGACGAGATGTGGTAAGTTCTAAGCGTCTGCATTGTAGTTCACTGAATCACTGTGGAAATTGTACTGTCGACTATTATGTTGTTGTTTAAGATTCGCTACTTGGAACAATAAGTTCCAAGTAGCATGGGCTATGGTGAGCCCGTTGTGGACTTACTTATTATCATTGGTCTTACCTGGTCATTGCTATCTAAATTAATTAGAAGAGCCAAAACTAAATACTACGAAGATAAATTTACCCAAATAAAGAGCAACATTAAAAAAAACTTTGAGCACAATTTCACAAATATTGGGATCAAAGAAGATTTTAAATAACAAACCAACACTCCTGTCCAATAACGATGGTCAGCTTTCAGCCTCTGACTCTGCTATTGAGTTCAATAGGTTCTTCTCTTCCATTGGGTCATCCCTTGCAAACGATATTCCATCTTCCAGTACTGATGTTAGGGACTATCTTACAGGTAACTATCCACAGTCTCTGTACCTAAAGCCTACTAATTCCACTGACGTCAATGAAATAACCCTTTCCTTTAAAACCAAGTCTAGTGCCCTTGAGGAGATACCAACTTTAATTTACAAAAAAACCTCCAGATCTTTAGCCCCTGCTATTGCATTGCTCTTCAACAAGTCACTTGAACTCCAAACCTTTCCAGATATTCTAACAAGAGCGAGAGTAACTCCTGTCCACAAATGTGGTGATCTCACTGATGTTAACAACTACAGACCTATATCAATCCTGCCTAACTTGTCAAAAATATTTGAAAAACTAATCTACAAGCAGCTTTACTCTTATCTAGCCAAACACAATATACTTAGCTCTTGTCAGTATGGCTTCAGACCCCAAAAAAGCACTAACGATGGACTTATTAGTATGATTAACTTGATTCATGCAGCTCTTGATAAAAATGAGTTCCCTGTTGGGCAGGCGATGAGTCACAATAACGTGGCTAAAGTATGTTGACCAAGCTACACACTAGAATGTGAAGGGACGACGACGTTTCGGTCCGTCCTGGACCATTCTCCAGTTATTTGTGGACCTGCGTAAGGCTTTTGACACTGTCAACCACCAAAACCTTCTTCTTAAATTACATCATTATGGAGTCAGAGGACACTCCCTGCAATACCTCAAATCTTATCTTACTGACAGGCTCCAGTATGTTTCTGTGAATAATTCAATTTCTCCCACCCTACCCATCAACATTGATGTTCCTCAGGGCAGCATACTTGGCCCTCTCCTCTTTCTCATCTACATTAATGACCTTCCAAATGCCTCCCAACACCTCAAACCAATTCTATTTGCTGACGATACAACCTTCATTTACTCCAGTCCTGACCCCCTTGCTCTAAATGCCACAGTAAATACTGAGCTAAATAAAGTCCATCATTGGCTAACTGCCAACAAACTCACTCTTAACATTGACAAAACTTTCTATATTCTGTTTGGCAATAAATCCTCTAATCAAATAAATCTCAAAATAAACAATACCCAAATTTGTAACAAATTAGATGGCAAATTCCTTGGCGTTCTCATTGACCGCAAGCTGAATTTCCAGGGACACATTCTAAATATATCAAAAAAAGTCTCAAAAACTGTTGGCATTCTTTCTAAGATCAGATATTATGTACCCCGCCCTGCCCTGGTGACTCTCTATTACTCCCTCATCTAT